ACACTTTTTGTGAGTGAAATGAATAGATGTTTGATGAATAGCCTTTTGCAAAATCATATCAAACAATGAAAGGGAAACAGGTTCTATAAATGGTCATGTTTACCATAAATGATCACTTTCCTTAATTAAAATAACATCTACTTTACTACATCAGTTAGCAAGCACAGAAAGGTTTTCAGCGATCGTTTTTTTTCAACAAAAACGAAAGCGCTTTTCTTTTCTACGTGCTCTGTCCATTATTTACTTTTCCCTGCTTTTCTCACCGCTGTCGCTTGGTCTTTGCTTGCTATAGATGTGAAATCTGATTTCTGGCATCACATTCTTGGGATTTTTGGGCGCACGTACTTCCAGCCCATATTTTTATGTGCTGTACCTCATAATGGAAGGATATCACCATTTTGCCTAATCGCAATTAAAAGAAAGTATTTCATGCGCTGGATCGTTTTATTAATTTTCAGTATTTTTAAAGATAAAGGAACACATCAATTGTACAGTTCCCAACGTAAGAGTAAAAGGAGGGCGGTGTAGGAGGCCGTGAAATCTGTGCCTTTATGCATTTTTTGACATGTTTCGGAGTGCGAATGCAATTTCATATTTATGCGGTGGAATATGCGGACTACCAGCGGCTGAAACATGGTTAATGATTAACGGAAGGTAGCTCTAGTGAACAAAATGTCGTGAGATGCACCTCACAGTGCATGAACACAAGTATCATGGAATCGTGGTCTACTCAGATTCCTCCCCCTTCAGCAGGGAGTTACGAGCAAGGGGACGATGCAATGAAGAGTACAATATTAAAAAATTTTCGAACTGCAGCAGTGTAATACCTTAGTAGTTTACCGTGATCTTTACAGGAACGGGGTTCAATTCCTCGACTATTCAACTTCTGTTTTGTTTTTAATTAACTGCTAATTCTGTCCAGCAGGGAATTCGATGCTACGAGTCAGAAAAGAGTAGCAGATGGCTGACCTGCGAATAATGGTGATAATATTGCGCTTTGATGTAGTCATGCCATCGCCTGCGAGACATACGGCCGTGCTATTTGATGTGTGAGCGAGCCCCGGCTGCAAGTCGTTTTGATCTACTTGAAAGGTGACCCAAATCGGCAAATTGTGACTACGTCAAGCGCAAGGTAACCACAAAAAGCACATAAGCGCAGATATCCAGATTCAGTGTATGTTACGCGCACCATCTACTGCCTACTTCAAGACTCAACGATCTGTGAAAACATATCCACACCTTCACAGGCTACTACAGTGGTAAGAAAACTACTCCTTATACGGAGAAGAACTGAACAATCATTTTGTACAAGCGGAACTACCTATTATGAGTACACCGCGAAGGTTCGAAGGCTTTGCCTGCAATAACAACTCTGCATTACCATATGCATTACGGTCGCTGTAGTAAACAGCTGATTTTCAGGATTACGGAGATGTGCAGCCGCAGGCTTCGATGGCGTGCATACGCTCATCCTTAAGAACGTGCAAACGAGCGATCACCTGTTTGTCGGCATCTTTAGTCACAACCCCAGTCAAGAAGTGTACCGAAATTCTGTTATCCTACCGATGGCTACGGCTCTGCAGAATGAGTAACAAAAAAGGCGGAATCTGTGAGTCGATCCTCTCAAGTTAACTTATGCATTCAAATATTCAC